CTGAAAGAAGTAAAGAAAGAAAAAGTAGGTTAGTGAAATGATGAGAAAGGAAAAGAAAGAAAATAAGGAAAAGAGTGGAGGTTAGTTGAAGATGGGAGGGGAGAGAAAATTGTGATGATGATGGTGTGTACTAGTGGGGCCCACACTGATATTTTTGGGCATTACTTTTTGGCTTTGATTTTTGCACGTGGGTTTTGTTACTAACGGTGGATTTGCCTATATATAAGTGTATCAGTTTTGTGACTTTGGGAAGCAAACAGAAAGAAAAATTAGAAAGAGTGAGTGAGCCGAGAGCTAAGACAAAGAGAGGTCCGAGAGTTGCAGAAGAGGCCAAGACATGGTGACTTGGTGTTCATTTGTGAAATGATTTATTTTTCATGGTAGGGTTCTCTATACCTTGAATGGCTCGAAGTAGTTTTGCTTCAAATAGTTTTATTAAATACTTTAATTAAATGCATATGTATTTTGTATATATTCACCTGTCTATGTATATTTTGTGAAGTTGTTCTATTAAACCTCCATGAAATTCTTTTTATGGTTTTACTACTGGGACTTTTTGTCTCACCACCCTCCAGTTTCAGGTACCGAAGTGAACGTGGATTGCTAGATTCGGGCTTAGGTGGAAAAGTCGGTATTGTATGATTTATTTTATTTATTTGCAGAATTTTTGTGTATATTTGAGGAAATTGATTTTTGTATAAATAAGGCATTTTTTTTAATGAGAGTATCCTGGGTGTATTTTGATGTATTTGTATAAATTGAGAATTTTATTAGAATTTTCTAGTCATGACAAAATGGTATCAGAGCCCTTACCCAGCCGGAAGTGTGAGTGTAGTGATGATGTAGACGGGTGTGAGTGGATGAGTGCGTGGTACTGGTTAGTTACCACTCATAGCCGGGTGTATGTGGGCGGAAGGCGTTCACCGGCAGTTACTGGGATAGTTGGTTAGTGTGATTGGGCAGGTAGCCCGGTTTTGTTATTATTATTTTTTTTAGTGGGAGGGTGACGCATCGACTAGTTACCACAACAGTTACGGAGTGTGTGGGCGGGTGACTAGCACTGGCAGCTACCACAACGTCCTACATATCACGGCATCTCACATCGCTTGAGGTAAGGATTTATGGATTTTGTTTCGTGGTTATTGGTGTTTTCGGGTATACGAAGACTGTTGGATCTGAATTTCGGGGACGAAATTCTTTTTAAGTGGTGGAGATTGTGGCAACCTGAATTTTTAGGATTTTAAATTATATTTATTTCATGATTTTTAGTTGTCTTATTTAATTTTAAATTGGATATTCACGATTAAGCTATTTGATTTATTTTTGTTACAATTGAAGTTATATTGTTTTTTTTGACCTGATGGAAGTAGCAACGAAAGTAGTGGGTAAGGAAAGAAATTGAAATGTTATAAGTGGCGGGTCCAGAGGTTTAATGGGTGTTTTGGTTTTTTTAGTCATATATATATATATATATATATGGTCTGAAGAAGCAAGATGGCAGCCAAAGTGGAAGGAGGAAAGATTGAAATGGTGATGATGTTGGCGCGGGTCCCACAAAATTTTGATGGGTTTGATTTTTTAGTTTTGTTGCATTGAGCGTGTGTGTGTGTGTGTATATATATATATATTTGTGATATCTGGTATAAGGAAAGGTGGCTGCTGACATCAGAGCGAGAAAGAAAAAGTAAGTGATGATGGCGTGGGACCCACTTGGATTTTTGGTCAAATTTTCTTTTGGCTTAGCTTTGTTCAAGTGGGTTTTGGTCTGAAAGAAGAAAAGAAAGAAGGAGTAGGTTGGTGAAATAATGAGAAAGGACAAGAAAGAAAAGAAGGAAAAGAGTGGAAGTCGGCGGAAGGTGGGAGAAGAGAGAAGAGAAAATTGTGATGATGATAGTGTGTACTAGTGGGGCCCAGACTGATATTTTTGGGCATTACTTTTTGGCTTTGATTTTTGCACGTGAGTTTTGTTACTTGCGGTGGGTTTGCCTATATATAATTGTATTAGTTTTGTGACTTTGGGAAGCAACCCTAAAGAAAAATTAGATACAGTGAGTAAGCCGAGAGCTAAGACATAGAGAGTTTGAGGACAGAGAGAGGTCCGAGAGTTGCAGAGGAGGCCGAGACATGGTGACTTGGTGTTCATTTGTGGAATGATTTATTTTTCATGGTATGGTTCTCTATACCTTGAATGGTTTGGAGTGGTTTTGTTTCAAATGATTTTATTAAATACTTTAATTAAATGCATATGTATTTTGTATATATTCACCTGTTTATGTATATTTTGTGAAGCTGTTTTATTAAACCTCCATGAAATTGTTGTTATGGTTTTTCCTACTAGGATTTTCTGTCTTACCACCCTCTAGTTTCAGGTACCGAAGATGAATGTGGATTGCTAGATTTGGGCTTAGGTGGAAAAGTCGGTGTTGCAGGATTTATTTTATTTATTTGAAGAAATTTTGTGTATATTTGAGGAAATTGAATTTTGTATGAAAGAGGACATTTTTTTTTTTAATGAGAGTATCTTTGGTGTATTTTGATGTATTTGTATAAATTGAGGATTTTATTAGAATTTTCAAGTTGTGACACTTTTATTATGAGTTTTTTTTAATAAAAGAAAATCTAATTAGACAAGGATATATATATATTTAAAGAAAATAAATAATTTATATAAAATTCTACCACAAATTACCTATTTTTTTTTTTTCAATGAAACTTTATCACATTAGACAAGTATATATTTAAAGAGTTTTTATAAAACTCTAACACAAATTACTTAAACTCTACCACAAATTAACTATTTTATTTTCTTTAAAACTTTATCACATATAATCTGTATTTATCTATTTATTATGAGTTTATTATTAAAAAGAAATCTAATTAGAAAATGATATATTTAATGAAAATAAGATAATTTCTATAAAACTCTATACCTATTTTATTTTCAATAAAGTTCTATCACACTATAAATATTTAAGTACAAATATAAAAACTTAAAAAAATTTATTATTTTACAAAACTCAAACTTTACCACCAATTTCAAAATATTTCAGTATTTATTTATTAATATAAAAAAGTATTTAATAATTAATATAAAAAAGAGTTACCAAAAATTTCAAGGTTTTTTGTAAGGTTTATTGTTACAAGCTTGAAATAAAAAATTAGAAAAAAAAAATATATATGAAATCAAAAATTTTATAAATTACAAAACATTCATCACGTGTATCGCACGTACCTTTTCCTAGTATATATAAATAACTATTCCGTATATTAATCTACTAATATAAGAACATGCACGAACCTATTCAAATTGCCCCCACTGATTTTTTAATTTATTTTTTAGTATTATATGTCTACTATTTTTTTTCTCTCTTTTTTTATTAGATACTTATAAAATTTTAATACTGTTTCAAATGAAATTACAGAAAAACTCCACTATTGTCCTCACTTAATGATTTGAAATTTTTATCTTTGTTATTAATGGACATTCTCTCTTACATAATGTTCCGAGTCTGCTCTTATATAAGAGAATCCAGTAATATATAAGAGAATCCAGTAAAAATCTAAAACGGGAGAAGAAAAAATATATATAATTCCAACTCTCCTCTAATAAAACTTCAATTGAAGTTACCTATGCCATACGTTTTAAACATTTTTAGTTTGTTGAATAAATAAAAGCCCACTAACATTTATCGTATTAGTTACAGAGTCGCTTTCTCTACGTGTCCACGGGTTTGGTGATAGACCAAACCTCAACTGCATCGATGTGCTTCATTTTCTAAATTACTCACCATGTGTCCATGTCCACGAGTTTACGTCTTCAGGTGTGTGATTGCAAATTCTGTTTGATGTGGATGTTCTAACAAATTATCAATTAATTTCTTACCTCTTCATTATTAACAATGAAAAATTAAACCATTGAAACAAATAATTGCTCAAGAACTAGCTAAATAATTAATCATAAAGGATTGGCTTAACTTAAAAAAGACTTGGGTTAGGTATCTTTTAGGTGCAAATAGGTCCGGTGAATTAAGTGGTGTCCAAACACCCCGATAAAATAAAATAAAATAAAATAAAAAAACCTGAATGAATAATTGACTAATTGAAAATTTTCATGTAACCAATTGAACAGTGTCTCTTGAGCCAAACGCTTTTCAATGATGGTGAGTTACACAATTCACACACACACACACACACAGAGACAAAGAATTTGAACTAGTATATGGTTTACCGTTGGCTGTGAAGCGTTTTGCAGTTTGAATTTTTGTTTCTTCCTGCTGGGCCTTTGGGCCGGGTTGTTTTTGTTTGACCCCACTGGCCCTTTTCCATGAGCCTCTTTTGGGCCTTCCCTTGTTTTGTTGGGGCTCTATTCGCTGCAAAATCATACACTTTTGTTCTGGAAAAAAGGTATTGAAAATTTATCTGCTCCCAAGTTCAGAAAACTTTTTATTGAGAATTGATTTATCTGCTCCCAAGTTCCGAAAACTGTTTATTGAGAATTGATGTCAATTCTAAAATCACTACAACAAGTAAGGGTATTTGTGACGGGTATTTGCGAAACTGTCACAAAAAAAAAAGACTTTCTGTTACTCTTTGTAAAAAGTGTCACAAATTATTTATACCAGTTCCAGTCATCAGTCACAAATGACTAATTATTTGTAACAAATTTTATTTATCCGTCACAACTGACCAATTATTTGTAAGAGCTATTATAATCGGTCATAATTTATCAATTATTTATAACAACTACTATAATATGTTATAAATGACAGTTTATTTTTATATATCACAGATGATTAGTTATTTGTAGCAGTTTCTTTTCATGTCTCACAAATGACTAATTATTTGTAACAATATTTATTAATTGTCACAAATCACTTAATTTTTTAATTTAATTTTAATTTTTTAATCTTAGTTGACAATTGAATATAGCTTTTGTTTGAAAAATAATAATAATAATTGTATGACGGAATTCCGTCACAGAAAATTGCAGTCGTGTCTGTCACCATTTTAAATCACGTATCGACTGTCCCTCACTCTGTACCAGCTTAATTCACTCCCTCACTAGTATGTCAACTCACTCACTCACTGAGACTCCCTTATATACCAGTTCGCTCCTCCTCTCTCCTCCACACTCTCTCTCTGTCTCCTCTCCTTCGCGCTATACCAGTTCACTCCTTCTCTCTCCTCCACTATCTCTGTGTCTCCTCTCCTTCGCGCACATATTTACGAAGTCGCAAAACATCTCAAAGCAATTCACAGTTTCATATACACCACTTTTATCGCTTCTTCAATGCCGAAGAATGACCAGATCTCAAACCCTAGAATATCATCATCATTTTATCCCCAATCCAATTCAATTGAATTTAGCAAATCCACTCCATCACCAGATTTCATAGTCTCTCCCAACGCTGATTTGATCTCGCAATCGGAAACCCTAGAATCCATGGCAGGGGCGGCCTATGCTCTCTTCCTTCTTGACATCAAAGGCCGTGTTCTGGTGTGGCGCGACTACCGTTGCGATGTATCAACTGTTCAGGCCGAGAAATTCTCACCGAGCTCATCGAGAAGGAGGTTCGCCTTTTGTCTACTTTTTTGATAAATTATGGTCCAAGTTTGGTTGATTTTGGTGATATATGTGGAATTTGACGTTGATCATGGTTTTCAAAAATTTCGATCCCAGATCAGTAAATTGGATCCAGCCTCTTGGTTGCTGATAAAAGGAAGGAAATTGGATCAAGCCTTTTATGGAATTTTTATCAATTGCACACCAAGAGTAAGTACTGATGCTTGGGTGTAAAAATTCCTCTATAGTCTATGCAATGAAGTTATATATGTACATTGCAAAGTTGAATATTTGCTTATTTGATCAATCTATTTAATTTTACTCTCTTTCCTGTGTCATCATGTCTATAGAGTGAGATAGGTTTGGAGGGAAAACTCAAAGATAAGCTTCCAGTAATCTTGTTTGGTAAAGATTTTAGGACATGAAGAATTTTTCAGGATTTCTCTTGTTTTTGTTTGTCTGTTTGTTTGTTTCTCTGTGTATAATTTTCCTCCAGGTCAGCCAATATGTGTGTGTGTATTTATATATGTATAATACATTTGGATAAGCCTTTAGAATTTTTCATGTTATTGTGCATACAAAAATGATGGTCTTGGGGTTATGTTTTGGTCTTTATCTAAATAACAGATAGGAGGAATGACATTAAGGGTGTAATTTGGACCATTAACCTGAATCCAAATCAATTTTAACACTTATGTGCAATAATTTAGCAAGCGTATCAAAGTCGTCTCTACCCGCAACCCCCTTAACCTCCCCTGGAAGTAATTGAACTACATTTCTATTGCTAGTGTACTACTACATATATGTATGTATAACTCAACTCAACTGAATAAACTTCTCATTTCAACTCTTAAAATTTAGACAACTCGAATGTGACGGTCAATGTAAAGGTAGTGTCCAATCAAATTATATATATATATATATATATATATATATATATATATATATAAATGATACAGCTTCATGAAAACTCAATACTATGTAGGGTTGCCCCATTAAGAATTTGATAGTAGTAGTATGGTTTGTGACTCATGGGGTCAACCTCTTTTAGGGGTCCTCCAATAGTGTCAGAGAGATTATGTGTGAACAGAAGAGAGAGGCACTGTTTGGTATTTGAGAAAAAGTGGATGAAAAGGTTGCAGAAAGTGAACAGGAAGGGTGGAAACAAAACAGCATATCAAATCAAACAACTTTTTAACCTCTGTATTATGAATAATTAGGAGAGATGTTTCATGATACCTAGCATTTTTGCTTTCGCCCTCCCGTAATGTCATGTTTGATTCCTCCAAACCCAAAATAATGTCGTCCTAATGATGTTAAGCTCAGGAATCACAACACTACTCCACATACTCATTTGTTGGATTATGGTCTTTAAATCTGGCCTTGGAAATTGAGGCACTGCTTTGGCTAATGCTATATCTTATTGAATCAATGTGCTATTACTGGCTCTTTATGTCTACTTATCTCCTTCCTGCAACAAAACTTGGATAGGCTTCTCCAACAAGGCCTTCCATGATGTTCCAAAGTTTGTAAGACTTGCAAGTTCTTCAGCTATTATGGTCTGGTAATTCTTAGCTCTCTGTCTCTCTCTCTATATATATTTATATCTTAATTTCACTCTTATATACTATATAACAACTAATTAATATATATCCATATATGTTTTGTTTGCTCGAAATGTTAGTACCCTAATTTAACCTGTTTCATATCTTGTTACTTATAACAAACAGCTTGGAGAACTGGTCATTTGAAATGATGGTTCTCTTGTCTGGTCTCCTTCTGAATCCAAACCTTGGAACATCAGTTTTGTCCATCAGGTAATATTTACATAATTTCACACAAACACACACACATACACAAACACATGCTTGGTAGGAAATTAAAAGAAACAAAATGTCTGTAACACAATATCAGTACTAATCGATTAATGTACATGTATCAGCCTTAATACATGTGCTATGGTTTTCATGATACCCCTTGGACTCAGTGGTGCAGTAAGGTGAGTTGTATGGTACCCTTCTTTTTCCTGATACAAATTTCTACTGTTTTATTTAATACAGAGTTGTTGTTGTTGTTGTTGTTGTTGTTAAAATAAACTTTTTAAAATAAACCTTAGCGTAAGAGTTTCAAATGAATTGGGTGCGGGGCAACCTCAAGCAGCTCGTTTGGCAGTGGGTGTTGCAATATTCATGGTTGTTACAGAAAGCATTTTGGTAGCTGGTATCATGATATTGGGGCATAAAATGTGGGGCTATTGTTATAGTAAGGAAGAAAAGGTTGTGAGATATGTTGGACACAAAGTAAAGAATTAACCAGAGGTGTCTTGTACAACTCATTAATTTTTCAAGCAGAGCTTGAATAATGCATATTACTATACTTGCATTGAGATCCAAGTGGGCAATTATATGCTATATTAGGATCCCAGTGATGTTCACATTGGCCCCCAGTGCTCTATTAAAGCTTCTTCAATGATATGGACCCCTCTGGACTAAATTTTACTGAATCAGAAACATTGTGATTAGATGTAGTTATTTTTTAAATCCTTAAATTTATTGATTATCTATTTTAGCATAGATAGCTTTGTCGTTTCAATCCATTTGGAATATAGAAATGATGATGTTATGGAGATAGAAAACTTTATGCTCAGATTATGTTATTGTGGAAAAAACATAACCTCGGGTTTAATATAATTTTTTCAATCATCCCTACAGGACCTGATGTTTTGAAACCTTTTCAAGAGAGAGGAAACAGAAGCAGAGGAAGAAAAAGAAGCATGTCATTTATCATCATCTGTCAGGTCAATTTTTCTCATTCAATTTTCCGTTGGGAGGAAAGTTTCTTGTTTACTGTAAGTTGGGTGGAAAGTTTGACTTATTTACTCTGAAGTGAAATAGAGGAGGGAAACCGATGTGAGTTCTTGTTTTCATATTTTGGAGTGGCAATCTTGGTTGACTTGGAAACAGGAATTTTTTAGAAAAACATATGGAAACACAATGGCAACAAAAACTGTAGATGACATAAATGCTTTGAAACAGTTTAGAGTTATGTTCTAGTTTATGCTTGGAAACAAAGTAATGTTCTAGTTCATGTTCTAATATTAGAGTTTCATGGTCTAATATTTTATTATTATTGCAGGCAAAAAGGGTGATGGTAGAACATAAAGCAGCATGAAGCATTGGGAAATATTTTAGCTCATTTCTGTGTTGTTTTTGTTCGGAAGAATAATATGAAAATGTATGGTAAAACTTGAATGAAACCGTTTCTATGTTGTAGAAATGAAACTACTTATACACTATATATTCTTTAATATGCGCAGCTGATATTGTTTCTTTACAAATCTTGTTGAGCTATTAGAACATTGAAAAGTTCGGATTGAATGTACTTGTCCTTTAGCTGAACTGATTATAGTACTTTAAATTTGGAGCATCATACAAAAATAAATAAAAATTTACCAGTCACTGTGTATCTCATCTAAATCAAGACGGTATTGAACAAAGAATTCATGCAGAAGTGCCACCAAGTATCCGGAAAATTTTAAAATTAATTCATAATCAATACACCTACAATTGTCACATTACTAATATATTAACAATTAAAGAATGACCATCCGAAAAACAAAAAAACAATCCAATTGAGAGCTAATTAACATACACACATGTACCAAAATCAGAAAGTGACCAATTTTACATAAAAGGAACAATGGAAGGGTATTCCATGTACGGTGACGTCAATTGCATGGTTGTCGGACCATCATAGGATCGTCCAAAATCACATTATCCAGCATATCTAACGTTGGATCATCATACAGGATCAGTAGCAGTATTATTGTATGTGACATCAAATTTAATACAATCTTCATCATTCATCACCATCAAATTTGGATCATAAAAAATTGGAGTAGTGTATGTGACATTGCTACCAGAAGAAGAAGAAGCACCACCAAGTCCATTATCGTCCATGTTCACCATCATCATCGAATTTGCAGGCATTGAGAGATTGAACGGAACTGGCACGTCGAAATCGATGAAGAAAGAAATTGGGTGCTCAACAATAGGGTCCGATGCCGTCATGAAATATATCTCTTTCTCAAAATATATCTCTCTCTAAATTACTGTGCTCTTACTCTACATTTGAAGAATGCAATGGATGAGAAGAGCTATTTTATAGTGAAGGTTGGTCCTCCGTTGTAGAGAAATTCTAAAATCCTAATGAGTCTTGGAGTGAGATTAAAAATCATAAGGTGTGAAGTAGAGAAGATATTTTCTTGCATACTAAGTCATTCAATAATACAGTATATGCTTAAATACAAAGATTGTGTTAGATACATTATATGCTTAAATTTCTTTTTGAGTTCTTTTATGAAAATCAAAATACTTTTAGATGCTAAAAGATTGTGTTAGATATACTATTTTACTACTTTTTAAGAAAATTAGGACACACACCGGGTTGGTTACTTGGTCCCAATGCAATTACTAACCTACAATTTTTTTTTTTTTGGTTAATTAATAAATTTTTAAATAAAGAATAAAATCATGTACAAGGAGATTCCATTTTCCGTCGTTTTAAAGGAGGAATTATTTTATTTTTAAGTTTCTTATTTATCCTTATACCTAATAGGCATTTATTAATACTTATACACACACACACACACACTATATATAAACTCGTATTTATTTATATAAGAGAATTAAGGATTTTTTATTTTATTATTTTTCTGAAATTAACGGTTGTATAGATGTGGGCTTAATGTATACCGAGTAGGAAAGGGACCCAAGATGGAACCGCAACCTCAAGATTGCCATTTAAACCCAATTAAATTAGATACAAATTAAGAATCGAAGTACAATGTACTTAAGCCCTATAAGGTTATTAAATAAAGAAATAAAAAACAACAAATTAACATAATGCCATATTTGTGAATTTGAGTAACTAAATTCAAACACCAATTTGATATTTCCAAACACAACATAATAATATTCTGTAATAAATTTGCTATGACTTATTTTGTGTCAACCAAAATATCGGGAAAAGTTCCTTAATTTCCATACTTACTCAAGTCTTTTACATGCTTCCACCAAACAATGATCGCTATAGCCTATATAGGTAGTATTTGACATAAATTTTTTTTTCTTCTTACAATTGACATAATGACAAATGCCATTTAATGTAAATATCTTTTTATTTTTATTTTTTCGACGATAATAGTATTGTACATTTAAGAACATTCCATAATTCACTACGGAATTAGTATACAATCCCATATCTTACGTGTACCAGACAATTCTCTCAAAATATCCCTTAAGAAAGTTATTTTTAAAGTACTAAAAAGAAACAACCTTTAAATCTCAGCATATAAAAGAATCCACGTAGAAATTCTAAGCAATAAGCAGAGAAATTTAAAATTCATGCAAATACATATAATTGTCTAATATGAAAAATTAAAGGTAACTGTCTAATATTATAACATAGGATCAATATAGATAACAATTCATAACCCAAATTATATCTCCAACACCAAAAACTAAAAATTCATGTCATATATATTACCTTAATTAAAATAAATTTCTTGTTACACATCCGAAAATCACCAACTTAATCTGATCAAAAGCTAGCAGGCATATAAGATGGAACACTTGAGAACATCATCGGACCACCATAGTAGCACACCAGAGGCGGCATGGGAAGGTCATCCATGATCGCATTCTCCACTATACCAAACATAGGATCATCATAAATAAGACCGGTATTGCATGTGACATTGCTGCCGAAATCAACCCCAAGTCCAAGATTGCAATCTTCATCAATATTCATCTTCATCAAATTTGATGTTGATGGTAACATGGGTTGCATGGTTGGAGTGTAGTAGCACATCTGAGCCCTAGAATTGTTTGTAACCACATTATTATTCTCCACTACCCCAAACCTCCCCGGAAAAATTGGACCACTGTTTGTAGGAGGAGTAACACTGTATGTGATCATATTATTACTATCAGAAGAAGCAACACCAAGTCCAATGGGGTGTTTATCGTCCATGTTCACCTTCATCATCGAATTTGACATTGAGAGATCCAACGGTGGGTAATGACCCGGCACATCGACATTACTGAAGAAAGAAATTGGCCGCTGCTCATGATGAATTATAGGGTCCAATGACATGAAGTAAATAGAATAATTTTCTTGTGTTCCTTGTGTAGCAAGAAAGATATTTTCCAAGTTTTGGTAATTAGACTTCAAGGATTGAAGTCTAGTTTTCACGGCTTCAAGCTTTTTCTCCAATTTGGTACCAAATTCTCTTAATTGTTCATATGAGATATTGTTGAAGTACTGATCATCCCAAGTAGGGTGTTTGATATTCTTGGTGGTTTCATTCATCATCACTTTTCTTGTCCTCTACTTTTACAAGTACTATATGATCAGTTCATCTGCCTTCTTTTTCTTTGGATTGTCTTCTTCTAAGAAGTGAGACAAATTAAGAGTTCACTTCTTACGATTTTCATCAGATTGTTGTTTATGAGATTACATCAAGATCTTTATGCCCTCATATTGTTGTTTACCAAATTACATCAAAATTTTTAGGCCACATGTAGGGCTGTCGATCATCACAATGATCAATCGGATGGTAGTACTTCAGTTTGGGACCGTAAATAATGAGACAAACATCAACATCACAGAAAGTAAATAATTCAAAAGCCATCTTTTCTAAACACTTTCTTGTCTTTGTTTCGTTTCTTGTAAATTCCTCTTTTAGATATCGAGTCTTTTTTTTGTTTATAAATTCCTTCGTTAGCTTCGGAGCCATCTGAAATTATACAATGACAGTTAGATTTGATACCATATATATATATCGCAATTTTATCTTTTAAGGCCAAACAAATAAAAATATAGGAAATTTTTAAACAAATAAAAATATAGGAATTTTTACAAATAGCATTATGGATTCATATTCACCATCAAATTAAAGTTGACCCAATTGTGACGTGGACATTGAGTTTCAATATTATTTTGAAGCAAATTACCTTACTGCCCCCTTTTTCTTTTATTCACCCACACAAGTATGGGTTTAAGTAAAACTGGTTTGGGCTACGCAATTCCAGTAGCCAAACAGCCCCCGTCTCTTTCAAAACCTAACGGACGAGCTGCAGTGACCGCGGCGAAGCACATACAAGTCTTGCGGCGACGGCGGCCAGGCTTGATTGCAGGAACAGTCACCGAGCCTACCGCCACCAGAATTCTTGTTCGCCGATTCGAAGACGAGTCACAACCGCTCCGCCGTCATCCGTGTTTGCCGCAAGCACGTCCGTTCAGCGTCGCGCCCACCTTTCCACTGCACCGCCAGTTCCGATCCTTGCTCATTACCGCAGAACAGTGCTCGCCGTCTGTCAGATTCTTGCCAGTTTCTGTTCCTTGCTCGCCGCTTTACTCCGTCATTGCCGCCTCTCGCCGGTAAGTCCATTTTTGGAGAGGGAGCGTATGTTTGGTTTGGTGGGATGGTGATGTTTTGGGGGTAAAAGTCTTGCGGCGACGGCGGCCAGGCTTGATTGCAGGAACAGTCACCGAGCCTACCGCCACCAGAATTCTTGTTCGCCGATTCGAAGACGAGTCACAACCGCTCCGCCGTCATCCGTGTTTGCCGCAAGCACGTCCGTTCAGCGTCGCGCCCACCTTTCCACTGCACCGCCAGTTCCGATCCTTGCTCATTACCGCAGAACAGTGCTCGCCGTCTGTCAGATTCTTGCCAGTTTCTGTTCCTTGCTCGCCGCTTTACTCCGTCATTGCCTCCTCTCGCCGGTAAGTCCATTTTTGGAGAGGGAGCGTATGTTTGGTTTGGTGGGATGGTGATGTTTTGGGGGTAAAAGTCTTGCGGCGACGGCGGCCAGGCTTGATTGCAGGAACAGTCACCGAGCCTACCGCCACCAGAATTCTTGTTCGCCGATTCGAAGACGAGTCACAACCGCTCCGCCGTCATCCGTGTTTGCCGCAAGCACGTCCGTTCAGCGTCGCGCCCAACTTTCCACTGCACCGCCAGTTCCGATCCTTGCTCATTACCGCAGAACAGTGCTCGCCGTCTGTCAGATTCTTGCCAATTTCTGTTCCTTGCTCGCCGCTTTACTCCGTCATCGCCGCCTCTCGCCGGTAAGTCCATTTTTGGAGAGGGAGCGTATGTTTGGTTTGGTGGGATGGTGATGTTTTGGGGGTAAAAGGGTTAGGGGAGAGTAAGGTAATTTGGTTCAAAAGTAAAGGTAATTTTAGGCAATAAATTATAGTAAACAGCGGTCAATTTTTTTCGAAACTTTCATGCTTTGAGCCTTTATGGTGGATATGAGTCCAATAAAAATC